GTTCATATCCCAGCCTCAAGTGGTGTCCCACCCCATCCTCGAACGCGCGACCTTTTTAATCAGAGTCAAGCGCCCTAACCACTGAGCCACGAGTTCGTTGTCTCGCCGGTTTAGGTCAGGGAGTATTGACACTCATTGACAATGAGCTCGTGTCTCAATGGTTAGGGCGTTTGACTCTGATTAAAAAGGTCGCGCGTTCGAGGATAGGGTGGGACACCACTTGAGGCTGGGATATGACTGGCTGATAATGACCAATAAGCCAGAAATGGCCATTCCAGTCTCCCTTGTCTTTGCCGACAATAATATCTGCTGTTACGAGCTGTTACTGCTGCCAGGGCCTCTGTTGAGACCCAAGGCAGAGCGGGATAGATGAGTTGCGTTAGTTGTCAGCTAAGCGTTCATCAATGGGTGGAATAACGCCAATGCCTGTTTAAACTTCGCAATGTCCTTAAAGTCGTGTCTTCGCTGGCAGCTTATTGGTACCAAAATTCGATCCTCCTACAGACTGTTTTTCAGGCGGCGATGGTTCCTTTCTTACACTTTCATGGTAACCCCGAAAAAAGTTATCTGTCCCCTCTCCTGAAGTCTGGTTCTTATGAGTGCTTCACTGTAAACCAATTTCCATGCGAGTCGCCGTCACTTCCTCAGACACCGGGCCCCCTCGTCGCATTCGGCAAGCGTGTATCTGTCAATGGGGTCAATCATTCCGAATTGGTATACTACTGACTACCAGGTGGTCACTCGTGAATGTGACGTTGTGATTCCACAGCAGCTGATGCACTTCAGTTCAATCATTCATATGAACCTCTGGATCTAGTCCATAAAGCGTTTCTCCCGAAGGATTTACTCCAACTTCGTCCTTTTGTTTCCCGAAAAAATATTTTAAACAGACAGGTGAACTACTGTTATGTCAAGCATTATGGTCTGCTGACATTCTCTTGATGGCCTCACAGTTTCTTGTGCAACCTTACTTTAAAAACATTGCTAAAATAGCCTACGTATATCGTTTTTCAACAAGTACATATGCGCCGAAATAGTGATCGTTCAGAAAATTTACATGACTTCGTTTTTCTTCGTCATCCTGTCGGGCCTTGCCGTTTTTTTAAGGCGCATCAAGTAGTCTGTAAAAGCACGGTCCAGAGGCTAAAGGTTATTTGGAGGCCTTCTGAAATTTATGCTCGAAAGCCAGCAATCCGGGGATTTTTTGTACGGATTATCGAACACTTCTGCTTTTCCCACCTTATTTATTATTCTTTGACTTCAAAGTTGATGCCGTAGTAGCAACATGAACAGGGTCCTGAAGGAACTTTTGAGAAATATGCATACCGAATAGTTTTTTTAAACGCCGACGAATTTCGCACACTGACCCTGCAAGTCCGAAAAAAGCGCACGTAGATTGCTTCGCACAACTGGCGGTCCTGTTAGCGATAGCTCAACTGCCAAAGCCTCCAACGTGAATTCTTGGACTTAACAGGTTGTCTCTGTCTCGCAGCACATTGCCTGGCTGCGCCGGTTTATTCTCTCCCCTAGTAAAATTTGCTTTGGTGAGACAATGCTCTGTATAAAATCTCTTCTAGTCGTTACTGCCAGCCGTCAACCTTACTCAAAGTAATATAAAAGCACGACTAGCCCATCGGATCGTCAATTTTCGTCCTGCTTTTCTAGTGGCAGGT